CTAAGACAACCGTAATGAAGACTGGAAGAGTGACCTTAGGAGAGGGGTGAAAGAATCCTCAGGAAGATTCAGCTGAGATTGGAGAGGGAACTGTAATCATTCTAGTCAGTATGTTTACGTGATTTCTTTCCCCTTCAGATGTGGGATAGAAAGGTGAGAAAGTAGAGACCGATTTATTCCAATGTTGGGAATTAGAAGGGGCAGAAGGAAAGAAGGCAGTGCAGTGAAGGGTAGGATGAACAAACAGTATACTCTACAATTTAAGAAAGACTAGGTTCCAAAGTGATTGCATCATGCTCAAAGTCAAGCAATATTTGGAACGGGAGGATCAAGAACAAAGTATCAAATGACAGCGCTTGAGAAAGGTGACGCAGTGTTCATAGATCGTAGAGAGCAACTATGCTTTCTTTTTCTGCATCAAGGTGAAAAAATGGTAAAGAAAGAGAAGAGAAATAGCAGTCAGGGGCCAGCCCTAAGACAGGCTGGCGGCACCACGGAGAGTGGGGAAGAGGGGGAGTGGGAGAGGGGGGTGGGGGGGGAACGGGGCAGGCCCATGTTTTTAAAAGAGGGGAAGTTAGGAGCCCAGATTTAGAGCATGAGAAGTGCGATGTCTTTCCTATGGGGGGAAAAATGTATAGATTGCTAACCTGTGGGATCAAGACAGAAGAATGTAAGCATCACTGGGAGTGCTTGTGGTTTAATTGAGAGTAAGGGAGCCACGTCACAGACCTCTCTGCCCTGTTCCCGCTCTCTCCCGCCCGCTCCCTCTCCTCCTCTGGGTCTTTGTTATTGTTCTGTTGGAGGAAGGAAGTCCTTCCAGTGTGCTCTGTCGTGATTTCAACGGACTTCTGATAGAGATGGTCAGTAGGGTCTTGCATTCAAGACCAAGAAAATACCATGAACAGAGTGGAAAGTGCCCAGTTAGGGAGAAGCTGAGCGTTTGAATGAGAGGCAGTGGTGTGGAGTGGAAGTGACCCTAACGCGGGTTCGGTACTGTTTCACCTGCAGCTTGAGCAGGTTAACTTCTGGGAGCCTCAGTTTCTTGTTGCAAAATGGGAATAATAAAGCCTACCTTTTTGAGTTGCTCTAGGCCTTAAAGGACATGAAACCCTTGTTGTCCCTGACAGTGGGTTAGAGATCTCTTCCTCTACTTTCTTGCCATATCCTACTCCTCACCCCCTACGAAATACCCAACGACCACTCAACACTACGGGAAGGGGGTGGTGACAAATGAAAGCAGAATTTTAGACCACATATAGTGGAAGGGAGTGAAAAATTGGAGACGATGGGGAAAATAAATGTGAGGAGGACTCTTCTTTGCCTCATGTCCTCAAGAAATAAAATCCCATTCCTATGAGAGAAACTAGATTTAAAAATTCATTAGTTAGTATTTTGCCGTGGATGAATATACATGAAACTGAATTTCAGAAGCTTTTTCGTGAAATTGTTATACTTCTATTCCACACCCAAGCATTTTTAGCCCTCTTCATTTAAAGTCCTGATCAACGAGTGGATTTTCTAAAAGGCATCACATTGTTTTAGCCGCTGAGTTTTATCACTGTTATTTTTAACTTTTTGTTTTGACATGTTGCTTTTAACTGTAATTAAAAATTATTGGCATCTGTGTTTACTTTTTAGCTTGTGCATACCTTATCTTCATAGCAGAAACTAATTAGTATGTGAAGTACAGTACCATTAAATCTGCATTAAGGGGGAAGAATTCTAATCTGATCATATGCAAAATATGGTAGAAAATACATTTTAATATTTGAAAGATACATACACAGTATTAATTCCACTCACATTCTTATGATAAAGAAATACTGTTTTAGCATTTGTTTCCATACATCTTGCCTTGGCTTCTTCCCTGTGGTTAGGCAGATTGCAGAACTTAGAAAAAAAACTAATCTTCACTCCTGAAACTTACAAAGTGATTTAGGAAAATAACTATCGTATGTGGTGGGCCTGTTTTAAAAAGTAGAATGGGGGCACCTGGGTGGCTTAGTCGGTTGACCATTGGACTCTTGCTTTCGGCTTAGATCGTGATCTCAGGGTTGTGGGATCAAGCCCCGCGTTGGGCTCCGCGCTCAGTGGGGAGTCTGCTTGTCTCCCCCTCCTTCCGCCCCTCCTACTGCTCACACTCTCTCTCTGACTCAAATAAATAAGTAAATAAATCTTTTAAAATAAAAAAATAAATAAAAGCAGCATGAACTACCCTCTGGAAATATTTTCTGAAGCCCTAGAATATCTTTTCTGGTTTCAAATGGGTTTCACAGCTGGCTGGCTGCCTCCAGCCCCTTAGCGTCCTCAAGCATAACCTGCAAAAATGGTATCTCTTCTGTGAATCTCCTTCTGACTGCCTGTAAAGAGATGTTTCTTTTGAGATACCCTCATGCTGAGGCAGGTTACTTTTGGATTATGACTGAATTTTATATCTCAAAAAGATTCCAAAATGGCCCCCTTTTTTCCTGCTCCCACTGCTACCACAGTGGTCTGAGCCATCCTCATTTCTCTGTCGGTTTCCTTGTTGCCCCCCTGCTTCATCTTTGCTATTTTTGCTGTCCTTCTACTCAGAGGAGCCTGACTAAACCTTTAAAAATAGAAATCAGACTGTGTCACCCCCTGCCTCCCCCATCATCACATTACCCACCTTACACTCTTCTAGTAATGTTAGTTTTTCTTCATTACCTCATTTAGGATAGTAGATATCCCCATTTTTTTCTTCATGTCACTCATCAGCATTAGTAATTGTTTATTAAGTTGGATATTTACTCATCTGTTATGTCTTCTCCACTGGCCTGTGACTCCGTGAGCAGAGGGATTATGTCTTTTTTTTTAAACCACTTTATACCTGCACTGTCATTAGCATTTAGTTGAGGGCACATCAAGGGTTTTGGTTTTTAAAGATTTTTTAAAATTTATTTATTTGACAGAGAGATAGCACAAGTAGGCAGAGCGGCAGGCAGAGGGAAAGGGAGAAGCAGGCTCTCTGCTGAGCAGGGAGCCTGATGCGGGGCTCGATCCCAGGACCCTGGGATCATGACCTGAGCTGAAGGCAGCTGCTTAACCGACTGAGCCACCCAGATGCCCCATGGGTTTTGTTTTGTTTTGTTTTTAAGATTTTATTTATTTATTTGAGACAGAGAGAATGAGAGACAGAGAGCATGAGAGGGAGGAGGGTCAGAGGGAGAAGCAGACTCCCTGCCGAGCAGGGAGCCCGATGCAGGACTCGATCCCGGGACTCCAGGATCATGACCTGAGCCGAAGGCAGTCGCTTAACCAACTGAGCCACCCAAGCGCCCAAGGGTTTTGGTTTTTAATGACTGGATTTGGTTGTGTTTGTCACAGAGTAGCCACCTGTACAATGCTTCCTGATGTTTTTCATGTGCATCACATGAATGCTGCTAAACTGCAGTAGGTCTCTGCCTTTTTCCCTCATTAACATTGGTCGCCATCTGTGTAGGGAGATGGAAAGTTCCCTGAGGGCAGGGATCCTTGTCTTTGTTGTTCGGGGCCATGTCTGCAGTGTGTAGAGCAAGGCCAGAATAGATTTGGTGCATATTTATGGAAGGGTTGAGTGAATAAATGAAGCCCCACACCCCTGACATCTGGAATTTATTCCTATGATCAACAGTTCAGTTCAGCAAACATTTATTAAGTCTCTGCTGTGTGCTAATCATTATGCTAGGCCCTGCGGGTGCAGAAATCAGTAAGTCATGCTATCATTTCTGCTTGTGATTTAGTTTGCATTAAGATGCTATTATTCTAATTCGTTTAGAAACTATAGTATGATGTGACAGAGGCTTTCGAACTATTTGAGCACTTAAGCCTGACTCTTATTAAACAGATAATTCAGGAGTGGTTTCATACCCATGCTTTGTTTCACTCCCAGTTTTAAACACTGTGTTGTTAATTACACTTGCCTTGTTCAGACGTGGCTGGCCCTGCCCTCTTGGAATGGTTTCCAGGCCTTAGCATCTTTGATCAATCTGTTTCTCATTTATCTTCTAGGTCTGACTGAGGTCAGATGATAAATATAATGCAGTGACCCAGTGTTTTGCTCTCCACATCTTGCTTACAATCTAAGTGTGATTTGCTGACAGTGTGGAGACATTAATCCAGCAAGAGCTTTGTTTAGGATCTTGCTAGAGGCAAAGACCGGAGATGCTGTGTTAGTTTCAGCAATGTCTTCCTTTCCTTTCTTCTTGAAGATGGTGTATTTTTGAAATATGAAACATTTTTCCAGTTCTCCATATGTTGAAGAAAATCTCTCCTAGTTCATTTTTGATGTCAAGATGAGATTTATGTACAAGATTGGGGAAATACACTTACTTTTGGTTTGAAATACACCCAGATTTTTTAAGTTGTCACCTAAAGTAGGTTGTGACTTTTCTTTTTTTTTTTAAGAAGCACGTTAAAAAGCCACAAGCAGAAAGATACAATTTTTATATTCTGTGTTTCTATTTCTAAAATGTATAGTTGACAATTAAATCTTATCTGTATATTTTATGTTCCTATATTCAGGAACTGATTTTTCTCTTAAGTAGGAGACTTACAAATTCTATGATCTTGACTGAAATATATCCTTTATATCCTCCTGAATAAAATATACTACAAACATTGAAATATTAAGTACTCCATGCCTAAATATTAGCCGCTAAGGCATTGCCTTCAAGGGGAAGGGTAAACTATTTAATCGTCTGTGTCCCTGATAACTTTTTGGTGATTTTTATATCATTATCAATATAATCTGATTAAGTATGACTGAGTGTGTATGAGTTTATTATACCTTACAGCCATCTGATTTAAATCATTAATTTGATCTTTTTTTGGAGGGGATGTGGAGGAAAAGCATAACAATAAAGGAAACATGTCCTCGTCTCTTCACATCTTTTTCTGTCTCTGGAGACAGAACCTCTTCTGGTCTTAGAGAAAGAATGAAAATTTGATTTTACCACTGCTTAGTACATATATTAAAGGTTTCCCTTTTTCTTTTGTAGGATGAAGTGGCGCATACTCTGACTGAGAGCAGAGTATTAAAGAACACCAGACACCCCTTTTTAACAGTAAGTGACTCAAGGGCAGATGTGATAATCATAACATTTTAAATTTAAGGGAGTTTTATTGAAACAACTAAGCCATGAAAAGTAACATTTATTTAGGTATGCCATTTTCTTTGTGGAAAGACTAAGTCTTATTCCTTTGACCTTATTGCAACGTAGGGCCTAAGTTTACAATATGCATGCATTTGTCTTCCCTCCCCTTATACAACCATTCCTTTTTTGAGATTTTTTTTCCTTCACGAATTTCACTGCCTTCAGAAACAAAAAACCATAGAGCAAATATACGGAGACCACTGAGAAAATGGTAGACTTACAAGAAATTCTTAGTATTAAATGTGAGGGGTTTGTGTTTCCTTTGTTCACTGGCTTCTGATAAATATTTAAATGATCAAGCAGCATTGTCTCCAGATATGAAAGGCAGAAAATCTTTACTGAACATTTTTTATAGAAATTGAGACCTCCCATAGGTATAGAGTACTTTAAGAAACCCAGGAATACTGAATACATTAAATTAAAGGTAAGCTGAGTCATGATATGTTTTCTTGACTTGCATGCATATTACTTGTTTTGAAAGAAACTGATTTTTTCTATAGTCTTGTACTTAGATTGCTTATAATAGAGACAATTTGTTCCTGGTTCTAAGCATATTAAGATTAAAAATAACAGGTAGAAAAGAAAGAGGAAAAACAAATAACCGGTAGACTTTCCAAAGGGGGAACCTTTCAAAGATTTAGGATTATGTAAAGTAGGAATGTTTTCAGAGGTAATAATCAGATACCTAGACTTACTTTGTTACGTTACTGTGTGTATATTGTCCAGTGTAATAAGATAGCTCTAAAGTTCTGATACCGTTGTAACTTATACAATTATATGAACCAACTCTGTTGAATTCAGTCATGTTATGCACCCACCCAGTGTGCAAAAAGCAGTGCTGGAACTATATTAGAAGCCCGAACATAACTGCTCTAGCTGTATTCCTGAGACTTCCTCAGTTGAAGGTCGTGCAGATGGGAACTTTGGGGACTAACTAATACAGTTACAAATAGACAGCATGATAGATTGAGAGGTGCCCATCACAATTACTAAGTATATTTTTACTTAAAATTTTAATTTTAACCTTTCCACTAACAGTAGCCAATGCTGATCTAAACAAAATTTGTTTTATGTTCTTCAAAACTCTTCAACACTCTTAAGGAGTAAGTAGACTCTTTAGGACAAGAATGATTCATTTCATCCCTCAAGCTTACTGTTTCTAAGTATTCTATTTTGGTATCGTTATAAGAATACTGGATTATAATGTAACATTTTTTCTTTTTCATTTCAAGTCCTTGAAATATTCCTTCCAGACAAAAGACCGTTTGTGTTTTGTGATGGAATATGTAAATGGGGGAGAGGTGAGTCAAGAAGTTAATCCAGCACTTGAATATGCATGGTAGTCCTGTCATCCTTTCTCATAATTACTGAAAATATAAGTTATAATGTAACAGTTGTCTACTTCCTGGCAAGGATTTGGGTAGATGGGAGATGAGTCATTTCTAATGAAATGTAATGGTCGCTTGTTTTTTTTATGACTGCTTTTACATATTGGAAAGCATAATCATATTCTTTTTCTCCCTATATTTTTTAAATGTAAAATATCTTAGCACAAATATGCTTTTGGAAATCATGTGATTTTGAAAGCCGGAAATACAGGATTTATGGTGCTTTGCAAAGTTCTTTTCAAATGTTTGTGAAACTGGTAAAAGATTATTTAGCCCATTTTAAACTTACTTGAGCCGTACTCTGTAGGCACATCGTGCTGAGTTCCCTCTTCTTTTACATAGTAGTTAGAGTAACCTTGACTATATGTGAGAGATTTTGAAAGGATCTTGTAGTTTTGAAGAGAAATGTAATCAGCATAGTGGTACATCTCACCTATTCCTTTGTTCCCCTGTCCTTTGTCTTCCCTGTTTTGGATCAAAATCAATGTGAGGGAAAATTTTAATTTACTAGAATAGTTAACTGGAAATATTTTACACTGTGGGCTTTCTGAAATAAATTTAATTATTAAATAGAGGATTGTATCTCACAGACCTTAAAGTAGTTTTGTTTTTCAAAATAAATGGATTAAATATCCTCTATAGAATATCTTCTCCTATAGAATTATCTCACTTGTAGGAATTGCAAACATTCATCCATTCATTTGGTAATCACATTTTAAATGCCAAGGCAGTGTGGGTTTACCAGAATGTGCTAAGACATCATCTTTCTATGAGGGCATTTGTAATTTACCTTGTAAGTGTATTATAAATTAGAATGTATAGTGAAGGACCTAAGTGTTCACAAATTCTTATTAGAAAATTCTTTATGAAAAAAAGGTTAAAAAAATAGAAAATGCTTTCTGGGTGATTTGGCATTAAGGGTAGTCCTTCAGTGCTTACTGAGATTTCAGCAGGGGACTGACTTGAGAAGATTCTTCAGGCAGAGGGGATCATGTGAACAGAATCACCGGGGTGAGCACAGGGCAAAAAGAACCTGAGTAGTTGGATGAGAATAGCCCAGGCATTGCAGTCAGAGGTTGTCTGAGAAAATACAAAGATGATGAACTTTGTGGAATTGCACAGGACCAGTCCACCTTAATGACCACTGAATCGGGTATGGGTAGAAGGAGAGAGGGATCAAAAGTGGCTTTGGTTTGGAATCAGGGAGAACTAATAGAGTGAATTTACAAAGAATGTGTCGAGGGTAAGACTATCAATTTGGGTGGTTTGAATAAATAAGTTAAGTGAATGGCTGAATAAACTCTCTCCAGGAGCACGGATCAACAGGGTGTTTTAAACTGGAAACTGCTGAGAAGTAGGAAGAAAAATAGAAAGTAATGTACTATATAGTTTATTTTGGGGACAAAACTTGAAAATCTTTTTTCAAGAAGGGAGTATCTTTTAGTGTAGTTATAAAATATGTATTTTTTGAGGCTTTGTGCAAGGCACCCTGATATAGGTATTGTGGGACATAAAATCTGAACCAAACATAGATCTTACCCTCAAAGAGTTTACAGTCAAGTGGGGAAGATAAGGTACAATACCCATGCTAGGTGTAAAGTGATAATTATCGCTTGTTTCGGAACTACAGATGAAGAACCACGGGACTTCGCGGGAGGGAAGAGGGTTCTGTGTGGTGTGGTGAGGGAAGCTTTGGAGCCTCTGGGGCGGGGGGCTGCACCCCCACTGTCGTTCTAAACCCAGAGTACTTCTGAGATTAATTAACTGATGATTGCTGAAACAATTTTACACACAAAAACAGATTTTCAGACTAGCCAGATGGTTTTCTTTAGCACCGAAACTCCTACATTATTTCTCTCTTTTTTCAGAATTTCTGTTTCGAGAATGTGTTATAGATAAAGACTAAATAATTTCATAGATTGCGGCAGGTGAACTGATTCTGTATGTGGTATATAATTTTCATGTGCGTGGATAGTAATTACAGCATTTCTGTGTATATATATATATAAAAGTAAATTTTGATTATATTTATGCAATTTTAGTAAAAATGAAAGTTTTGTATATATAATTTCCCAATTTTTCTCTCTTTAAAGTTATCACATATTTTTAAATACATTTTAGATGCACTTTTGAATGTACTTTGTAAATATAAATAGTTACCTAGTTCTTGGAACTTGATGTGATTATTTCTATTCTTAAATTTATCATTTCTGCAAAGGAAATCTATGTTCAATATATCTTTATCGTGACTTACTTAATTTTGGTTTTGCTTTAGGTTCACCATGACATTTATTCTGCCCAGGGATGCTTCCTAGAAATGTAGAAAACTCCATTGCTGTAGAAAAAATATTAAACATGGTACTTATGTTTGGTAATAGGTTGAAATAGAGGTAAAGTAAGGGAAGCTATAAACTCACCCAGGCAGTCCGTACCAGCACTCACAGATGCACGGGGGGTGTTACCCTACTAGGAACCTCTGGGTGGCATCTAAGAGACCAGCCTGTTGAAAAGGAAGCTCTGGGGGCACCTGGGTGGCTGAGTCAGTTAAGCTTCCAACTCTTGATTTTGGCTCAGGTCATGATCTTAGCGTTGTGGGTTTGAGCCCTATGTTGGGCTCTGCATTCATTGCAGAGTCTCCTTGTCCTTCTCCCTCTGCTCCTCCCCCACTCACTTTCTCTCTCAAATAAATAAAAAATCTTTTTAAAAGAAAGAAAGGTAACTCTGGTAAACAGTGCTCACCCAAAGGGCAGCATCCTCAAATCTCTTTATATCCAACCTGTGCCTCAAGATGAGCTTCTTTAGTGAGCCTATTGAAGTAATTATAAGTAGCCCAATTTTTACTTAATTCATACTTGTCTTGATTTTTAATTAGCAATAGCATCCTTTTAGCCTGTGTTCTGGAATGTTTTATCATGAAGTATAAATACAGCAGTTGAGACATTCTTTTTCTGACCTTCACATTTTTGTGAATATATGAACTTATTTCAGCCTAATAGATAGCACAGGAATTTAGCATGCTCGCAGCCATGCTTATTACTATCCCTGTGTTTGCCTGTATTGCTTAAAGCACTAAATATATCTTGATGGAAGTGGATTGTGAGAGGATATTGGTGTAAGAAATCAACAGTGGCTGCTTATAGGCATATCAGTACAATAGGGATCACATCATAATTGCGGTTAACTACATGAATTCAAGAAATGGGGTCAGAAAGAGACAGCATAGAGATAGATAGATAGGAAGGAAGGAAGGATATGGTGATTCTGCCATTTTTCTTGATAAGTGTGTTCACAGAGTCACCGTAAGATGAGAAATAAATTTGCTGTTCTTTTATGCCATGTCAGTTTCTACTTGGCATCCATAGAATTTCATGGGATATAAGCTCTGGTGTGTAAAAATACATAGTTTTCATAAATCATTGTCATTAAGTGCCTTGTAACTACAGATGTTCATTTAAGAAACTGCAGTATTTCAGTGTTGGAGGAAGAACTGCTGGGCTTAACTATATTGAGACAGTATGTTGGATCTGCAGTGTGGTACCTTCCTTAGGAATTTGCAAGAATGATTTTGGTTATACTTCATAATTTATGTTTGAACTTTAGAACCTATCCCATTATAGTCCACTTGCCTATTAAATATTTAATGAGCAACTACTATCGACTGGACCTCAGCAGATACAGAAATAAGGAAAACATGGTACTTTCTTTTAAAAGATGACTATGTAGTTGGGGTTATGGAGAAGAGAATATGCATGTACTTTATAGTGTCATTATTGCTATAAAACACTGGTAGATGTGGGATACAGAGAATGGGCACTTGAATCAATCCAGAAAGAAGAGAGAAGAGAAGGGGGGAGAATGTCAGGGTAGGAAATGAAACACTTTCTCAAGTGGTTGCTAAGCTAAGACTTTAGTTTAACTATAACTTCGATCACTGAGAATGAGAAGGAGAACATTCCTATACAGAGGAAATAAAATATGTAGAATATACAGGAATATGCCAGTTCTCCCCCACCTGTCCAGATATAACACAGTGTATGGGGTGATGCATAAAGTCCTGCAGAGAAAAGCCAAAAGAGTCTGAGGAAGTAGTCAGCATCATATTAGGACAGATTTTCTCTCCCAACCAATTTAGATTTTATCCTGAAGACAATGGAGCATCATGGAAGGATTTCTGTAAGAAAATGTTTCAGAAAGAATATGTTGTAGCAATAGCAAGCTTGGATTGAAGACAGAACTGGAAACAGGGAAACTACTTGAGAGGATACTGCATTTAGGTTTTTACTAATTTAGTCATAAACTGATAGGGTCATTAATTGAGGTAATATTAGAAGGAATAAAATTCTAATCATGTTTAGGTACCAGAATTTCCAGGATTGATTGATTGACTTTTAAAGATTTATTTATTTATTTTAGAGAGAAAAAACAGAGAGCAGGTGCAGGGGGAGGGGCACAGGAAGAGGGACAGAGAGAATCCCAAGCAGACTCTGTGCTGAGTGCGGAGCCTGACCTGGGGCTTGATCCCACAACCCATGAGATCATGACCTGAGCTGAAACCAAGAGTCAGACCGCTTAACCAACTGAGCCACCCAGGTGCCCCTAGTAGTTCCAGGATTTAATGACTAAATGGAAAGAAAAAAAGTCAGTTTCCTGTTTGCTGCTTGGGGGGAACTGCATGGATAGGCTGTTCAAAAAGTCAGGAAACACAGGATGAGGAATAAGTTCTGGTGTGATAATCTTATATTTGAGGTACCTAGTGAGGCTTACAGGGAAGTAGAATTAGGTCAGAGATACAAATAGGCTTCATCAGCAGGGCTAAAACCAAAGAAGGGAAGAAAGGTCGAGGGTGAGAGAAGTATGTAAAGTTAGAACATTAGTGACCAAGAATGGCACCTGGAGACACCAACAGTAGACGT